AAACTGTCTTCTCTTTCGCTCCTCTTACCCCGAGCTCCTCCACTAAGAACCGCACTGTCTACGCTCGTTGTGACCTTGGATGAAGCACATCCGATAACATCGTCTATCAATGCTTCTCTCCTCTTTGTACTAGACACTGCACCTGCAAGACCCACACAGCTCAGATTTTCCGACAAAAAAGTTTTGAAGTGTAACCCACTGTCTGAATACATTTATGGATGTAAAGTTAAGAAGAGAGAATGCTAATCTTAACCATGGTGTCATCATACATGCAGTATCAGAAGAAACTACTTTTGAAAGATCAAATCATGGAATCAACATCTAAAGTTCAGATTTTGCGTACCTGATCCCTTGGCCTCAGTCTGATGATTAGAAGGTTCATTGAGTGTGTTACTGGCTGTTCCAGAGCCGCCATTTTCTGATGATTTTGCATCATTGCTGGGAGAAGAAAACAAGATATCCTGAAGCGCAGGATCAGCGAAACAGCTAAGCCCAGTTTCTTCAAACTTCCGACACCTGGCAACTGTACGCCTGATGAATCCCAGAGCCACTTGTCTTGTGACTTTTTGGACTTTAAGTGCTTTACTTCCACGGCATGCCTGTTTTCAGCGTAACATCAATAAAGGAACCTCATTTATATCTCATGGTACAATCATCCATCCAAGCTGAGTTTGGTAAAAGTGCAACAATCACTAATTTATTACCATTCTTTTCCTGTGAGCCGTCTCCACAAGCTGGTCCATAGCAAGATGCTCAATTTTCCTGCATGTCAACCTGAAATCTTAGCCACAGAAAGGTGTAACTAGAAAGATAAATGAATCTGAAACAGCCAAAGCCAACCTTTTCTCCACATCTTTCCCCTTCTGGATGTTAGCATTTAGCTTATCCAACTTTTTCTTCTTGTTTCGGATCTATTATTAGTCAAAGATAGAACATGAGAATGGTTACTACGGGTCAAAGATGAACTCCAATAGGGAATGGGACAAAACTAAGCATGAAATATTCGTTTTGCATTCACCTGCTGATAAATGCCTTCCTTCAACTCCATAACATCTGTGCTCATAGTTTCTTCAGCCAAATCAGGCTGTGATTAAAACCCAAAGCATGGAAATCAGTAAAAATCTCAATTAACACGTTCTTTCCTTTAGATCAACTTCTTGACAGATTAAATGAGTGGACACAAAACCTACCATTGTCTCAGGAAACACACCAATGCTCTGTAGTTCCAGAAGAAGTCGCTCATCCAAAGACATATTCTGATACTGGGTGTCAGATACTATGAAGTTGGGAATATTCACTTCCCTAGGACCCAGACCATTTGATAATGTCTCACCACCAAGTGCAGCGTCTGAATGTGAAAGATCATCATCCCCAATCCACTGTTCATTGCTATGGACAGATATAGACATGCTACCGTTTCTGAAAGAGTTAGACACAACACTCCTATCACTGGAAAATCTGTCAAACAAACAACTCTTCGGAGTCTGAAAATCAGCGCTTGACTCTACTTCAAATTCCATTCTGTCTCTCTCTCTGAAGTCCGTGTCGATATAAGTACATGAACCACAGTGAGAGTCATCGCTAGCGTAATGAAGAGACAAATTCTTGCCTCCATTGAATTGTACAACTTCTTCTCCATCATCCTCGTCAATTAAAGCAGAAAGTACCCTTTTATACAACGGAGTGCTCTCATTCAACTTTCTCATGTCCAATCTCTGAAATGAGAGATCAGATACACATGATAAGGCTTGACCAGAATAGTTGACAGATACATCACCAGGGTGTTGTGGTGCTTTCGGCAATTTGACAGCCTGGGACAGAAAGGAATCTCTTTCATTCATGCTACAATCCGATTAAAAAAGAGTATTAAACTTGACATTGCTGCAGAAGTGTACAAGCAACTTACCATGATGTTATAACCATCTAAGATTGCCTCTGATAGAGATCCATCGATTTCTTCCGCAAAATTCAGCTGTATTTTTATAGTTGACAAGTTAACGAGACTGTGAGTTGGTATCCTAGAAAGAAGTCATATATGATATATTATATGATCTTGATACTTACCTGATCCTTCATGTTTTGCATGTCGTCAGCATTGATGGCAGCAAAGATGTGGTCCATCTTCTTCCAAAACTTACCAGAACAAGCAAGATCTACAGACAGATATTTACAGTTAGAAATTTGTGGCAATAAAACTTGAAAGACAAGACATATGGAAGGATTAATACTTGCTGCCTTCCGTGCTGAATTAGCTGCTGCAAATATATCTTCACGATCATCATCAGATTCACCTGAAAAGCAGAAGCACGAATGCTCTTTAGGGTATCATACAGTTTATATGCAGACATCCAACTATCACCCCTGTCCTACCATAGAAACTAACGACTTCCCTTTGTACAAATGAAAATAACTGAACAAGAGCTAATTCTCTCAGCAAATAGTTTGATAATACAATCCTGATAACCTTGAATATGGTAAAAGATGGGAACTCGAAATGCCAAGAGAAAAGAACTACCTGTAATATCTGAAGGAGTATTTGAATTTGAGGCAAGACGAGTCGAAGGCTTACGATCTTTAATCTTTTTTGCTGGTGGACGCCCATATTTGCTGTCCAGAGAGATAGAATGTAAAACAATTGGTCTCGTTTATGTTAAGATTTATATATAATACAGTACTTTCAAGGTAGAAAGGACAAGAAAAATAACTGAATTAGGCATAAATCACCTTCTATTCTTATCTGAAGCAATTTTGACATTGTGAAGAGGCTTCTCTACTGGTAGATTCTCCGACTTAACCATGATAGGATGAAAGCCAGGAGTTGTCAACGATGAAACACTTTCACTCTTTCCTTGCTTCCAAGCGCCACCTCCTTTATGACTAGTTTGAATCTTATTCTTCCTTAAAGGAATTAACAGCGACCCTGTTTTAGGAGTTGTGAACAAGTCACCACTCGCAAGAGCACGCTCTCTTGTTTTGTTGTCTCCAGCTCCCGAGTCATCACTTTCAGATAACCCATATGGTGATGAAGCATTCTTTAGCTCCCTTTTCATTTTTAAAGGGCTAGTATCAACAACTGAGAGTGACCCTGTGGTTCCAGGGGATGCTCTAGGACTAAAATCAGATGTCACAAAACCTTGAGCTGAGATCTTGCTTTCAGTATGCTTTATGAGAGGCGAAACTACATTTGTTCTCCTTGTTCGAGAATTTTTAGGCAGTCTCTGGCCACCCCATTGAGCCATTGCATGTGCAGAAGAACCTGCTGGCAATTGACGATTTTGATTATCTCCCATAAACATTAAAGATAGTGTACTTAGACAACACTTAGATTACCCCTAACCTTGTAATACTCCGGAAGGGGGCTCAACTTTGGATGAAGAATCAACACCCATAACGGCTGCTGTTCTTGGTGCCCTGGAAACCTTTGCTTTCAATATTGCAGTAGAGCTGTTTGTGGGGCTATCATCCTGTAAGTTTCTCCTAGATAGGCACAATTATGAATTTATCAGTCACGTAAATATATATTTTTTTTGTAAATTTAAGCCAAGTCTGCAAGAAAAACATAAGCTTGAGTATCTTCTCACTTATTGTTTCCCTTGGCCATAAGCCTCTGCTCAGCAAGCACCGAGCGGTCCTTTGCAAGGGTAACAGCCTCCAACTCATTCCTGGATAATGCACCCATACCTGGACTGTCCGGCTCAAATGAAGCATCAAGTTTGTTAATACCACTCACTCCGATGGAAGATTTGGATCTGCAACACGTAAAGCACATTATGTTTCCTTTGGGAGGGTAAGTTATGCACGAGGGATCAATCCAGCAAACTTTTTATACAACGGTATGTTGCAAAAAAATCCCGCAATAGCCCAATATAATAAATCATTTTGTGTAGGATCTACTGAAACAAATTCAAGATAAAATTCAGTTTAAGTGAGCAACTTGACAATCTCTGGCAATAACTTACAAACTTCATAGACAATAGAAACATGTAGAAATATCATAAATCAGTAAGATAGCAGAGTAGGTTCCCGCTAAAACATCATGAAACAGACTCAATACACAAAGACAATTTTCCTCTCTTCTAGACCCATTTATGACCCTTGGACAAGAAAATCGGTAATAACATCCTCAAACGGTGTTCAGTGTTATATGTCCTTTAAGTTTCGCATTAAGTAACCAACAGGGATACTAAATATTATGTCTTCAAAGCATACCTGAAATTTTGGGTGTCACAAGAGCGTAACTTAGAGTCAGATGCCGGCTTTTGCTGCATGACACGTTGATCAGTATTCATAACTCTGTTGCCTAGAGTAGCAACAGACCGCTTCCTTTTCATTCTTGTCTCCCATCCTTCACCACCAATAGGCAATCTTCTTATTTTCTCCTCAACTCGCACTGATTCTCCAGAAAGACTAGGAGGTGAATCAGAGCCCTTATCTATAACCTGCTGCCTTGCAAAAGTAGAAACTCTACCATCCCCCTGAAAGGAATAACAGCCAGAAACCATTAAACGTCACTGACATTTGAGAAAAGCTTTTAGAACACATTTTGATATTGTATAAACTAATTGAGCAATCGAGAAAACTCTTTCAAGACCTA